GAGGGCTTGAGGCGAGACAGGCTCAATTGCATCAGAGATTTCAGGTCGTACAAGGGAGTTGAGCTGAAAAGTCGTGGTGAGGACTGGAGGATCTAGCGTGCGCAGTGCTCTTCCTCTAGGAGAGGTAAGAGAATCGAAGACGAAGGGAACGGCACGAACCTCCAACCATGTGTGGCGCATGCGTACATGTATTCACTATTTCACTATTTTTTTTTTCATTTTCTCTATTACCTCAAGAATTTGTTATAACGGATCTTGTTCAGGAAATCACTTAACGGTTTGGATTAATGGGAAATTAATTTGCCGGCAGCCTGTGAAAATTGATGATTGTTCCAAATACAATGAGAAAAAAATATTACTTTTGCCAAGAATATTTTCTTCGCACCAGTAAATCTGTAAATCAATCACTAAATATAAATGTAGATATTCCCATAGGACTTACCAATGCCAAATATATTTTTTTGTGGTTAGTAAAAATTCTTGACTAAAGTAATATTTTTTCTCAGTGCACATCTCATCTCAAGAATCATTGGATCATGTGATATTTCAGGCGTGTTCTCATAAACGACGTCAGAATTTATCATCATCTGCAGTTTCAATTGAACTATTCTAATGCAAACACGCTGATGAGCGCTGAAAGTTGAAAGTCTCAACGGTGGCAAGTTAGAGTTGTATTTGGCGGTGGTATTCGTGCCCGATTGCAGTAACCCGAGTGGCTGCACTGTTGATTGCAGCACTTCTGACTTTCCAGGAGCTGCAGTAACTATTCCACCAGGTCGATTAGCTAATAGTGAGTTCTTCATCAAAACAAATAATCCTAGCATCGCCACGAACGCCCCTAATGTCCCTTTCCCATACCACGCGAAAATCCACTGAAATATCAAAATTCTTCAACAACTAAATTATACGTCTCCGTATCGAAATCGGTGCGGGTATATTAATTAAGAGATTAATACCAGATTAATAATATATTAACAAGTCATTCATAACAGATTAATAATATATTAATAAGGAATTAATGATATATTGACGACAGATTAAGAAGATTAAGAATAATTTAGACTATTCAATTATTTTTGTGCTGTTAGAAACCGAGGATTATTGGAACATCTACCTTAGTAGGAGAAATCTACTTTCCTCTTACTTTTGCTCACGACTGTACCACACTATTACAGTATGATACCCTGGCTTGTCACGTCGACGAGAAAGAAGCCAATTGCGAAAGTGTGCTGTTGCAAAATACACCAACGCGCACCGAGACTAGGCCTAGGTTGTATGTTACAATGATACTTCACATCGCCTCCTAGAGTGCATGTGTTTTCCCGCACCGAGGCCACGATCACGTCCGCAATTGCATTGACGCTAATGCAATAATCAGGAGTACCCCATAACTTGTACTTTCAGTTTAACAATAATTATGTCACGATTAACGTATCGATAAAAATTGAGAAATCATTGAAATATACTTTCAGGATAATGCAGAATTCAATGGAAGAGATCAATTTTATGCTGTTGACTGCCAGTTATAAAAATGGTGAGGAAATTTTATCGCATGATTATTTGCGTTTGAAATGGTAAAAAGGTATTTTTTTTTTATTGATCTTATCCCGATGGAAGCGGTGCTCCACCGAAGGTGTTGCAAAATAGTCGTCTAATGAGATCGACTAGCCGTTAGTTCAACCGAGCGAGTGAATAGTTTTCCTATTACTAGGACGAGAATAGAAATACCCGCAAACCATGACTCTCCCTATAATCATACCGCGCATTGCCTACACATTTGGATTAAGAACATTACCAATGCAAAAACTATCCACAGGAATTAATGAAATTTAAGGAGACTGAGTCACTCGACTTTTAAAACACTTTCACTCGATAATAAGTGATTAAAATCATTCCTTTATTTTCTTGGACGATGAAATAAAGTGGAAGCACCGGATTTGGTAGAAACAAAAAATACTCCAGGTGGTTAGAAACGAGATTTCTACCTGTATTTCATAGAAACGGTGAATTACCGTATTTTAATAAGCACGTCATATGCCAATGTGAAAAACTTGTTGCACAAATCCGGATATACTTGATGTTGACTTCAAATTACCTAGACGGGTTCTACAACAATGATAATTATGTACAGAGTGTAGAGGATGGAATTTTTGGATAGGAAAGGTCTAAACAGAAATGTACGGAGAAGTATTGATCCAAAACCGGTATGGCTGTATACGAGAGGAAGACAGACTGAAAGGGCCCATTGCATTCTAGCTGACGTTTTGCGGTGTCGGGCCACACCGGAAATTGACAAACCGCCGGTAGGCCTGTCCCCCCTGTCCCCCCTGTCCCACCCCTTTGCCCCCTTTGCCCCCTTTGCCACTGTTCATAACTTTTCCCCATTTTCCAGGTTCTCCCTCCATTTACATCAACGGAAAGTCTTCGTCGTTCATTTTCCAAATGAAAAGTCACTCTATAGCGACATCTAAGTTTTAGATTCAATTGTGTTCAGAATTCTCTGACACATTCTGATCACAATTTGTGAGTGAGAATTCAATTGGCATGAGGTAACGATACTTGAAGCTGAAAAATATCTCAAAGGACATTAGCAGGGCCGTAATCACTCGAAGACATGCAGAAGGATTAAAAACGGAATTTCACCATGTTCCAATGAAAGCGTAATATCATCCATTTGTCATCATACCGACATTAGCAAAATTCCAGAGTCTGTAACCTCATACTGGCATCGAATACCACAAACCGGTGACTCAAATATAAGTGCTTACTACCACAACACTCAGTCTTCTCCACTTGGCTTCCACCACATGCTGAAAAGATGCAGTAGTTGAATTTATCTCTGAAGTTGAGTGCCTTGGGCTTTCTAAAACATTGCTTACGACATCGGTGTGAAGGCTCGCGGTCGACCAAGTAATCCAACGGCAAAGTGCGCATGGGAAAAACTTCCGCCAATGTTTTTCCCTTCTAATGTAACTCTGCACAGTACCTAGGCTTGCCCTCCTTGGTGTACGTTTATTCGAACAACGCCTACACCAACGCCCCCATAAACAATGCCGACCGCTGTCCGATTGATTTTTTTACTTCTCATTGTCAGTTAATATTAATTTAAACTGTGACTCATGGATATGTAAAGCGTTTGTTTTCTATAACAGCGGTATGTTTCCTGGACGATGCTCACCAGACGGAAAAAAAATAATTGGTAAATAATGAGAGCAATCGAAAGTGCGCGAAACCGGTGAAACCGGCAACCTTTACCTTCCACCGTGGACTGGGCTACTTCTCCTGTCCCCTACCCCTTGCTCAAGTTCACCAATCGTTTCATTCACGAATTTCACATTCACGGCCACGGCCACGCGACCATACTTATGCTTGCCTTCGCATATTACGTATCAACTACAGGTACAACAACTGCACGCGCGAACCGCACCTCCTGTCAGTAGATCAACTGGCTCCAAGATAAAAAAATATGCAAGAATCCAAAGCATTTCCATCAATACCTTGATATCAACAATAATTGAGAGTGTATATTCAAAGTCTTGATAGACTCAAACCGAATGAACCACAGACTATCATTTAATGATGATAATTATGAGTGATTATTTAATTCCATCGAAAGTCAACGTGCGAAAGCTATGACGAATATCCACGCATTAATCACTTATGCGGGTGTCAATTTTTTTTCTATCCTCCTTCGAGGAAGAAAGAACTGCTTCCTTCATAGCAAGCTGCAAATACAACTTCATGCATTTAACAACTAGAAAACGAACATCGCCCACCCATGAGTATCGATGTGACACCATAACGGATGTTACATAAGTTTATCGGAAAAAGAAAAAAGTTGAACGATGTGATATCTTCAGCTGAAATACCGCAAGCTGATTTCCGCAGGGTTTCCAGTGAGGCTTTACTCACACCCGATAAAAGAACCTGATCCAAGCAGAAGAATAAACGCACGCAGTTCTCACCCTCGAGGAGGGGAAAAAAAAAAGCATTTATCACTAATGGAATTCTTTAATGAAACAGAAGAAAACGGGAATTCATCGAATGCCGTTTCCACGGTTCCCGACGCTCGAAAAAACTCGAACATTGGCTCCTCTGGCACACGGTTCATGTTTTGCGCGAGTATCGAACTCTACCTCTGTATGATCTCTCTGTTTTACTCGAGCAATTCCCTCACTCTGTCCCTCTTCATCACTCCCTCGGGTTGTACAAGGGACTGAGTGCAGGCATCGAGGCGCAAGCGTATTTGTGTATACATGTATGTATTTGTCTATGTATTTGTGTATGTAGGTGCACACGCGACAAGCCTACTGCACGCATTCGTGTACCATCCGTCGCGTAACTACGCGGTGCAACGACCCCGTTGGTGCTTAGTTAGGCTCTTTTTATTCTCATAATTTTCCGCCCCTCTCGCAGTCCATACTAATACAACGGATTAATTATTGTCAACAAATACATTCGGTGGGGATTCATTTGATTTGTTCAACCGATCGGATAACAGTGCCTGGTTCTCGTGTTTTTGTTTTTTTTTTCTTCCATGGACTTGTAGGCATCTCAATATAGAATGTACACTACAGTGTTTCTGTGACAGTTCTGAGGGGTATTACTCGACCCATCATGAATATATTTTCGGAGTCTTGTGTTATGCCGATACTGTTATTATTGCTGATATCATACATTCGTAAGACCTCATTTCGCGGATTGGAATTAGTATGAAAAGACAGGTTGAAGAATTGCAGTGATTCTCACGCTTTTCACGAAAATTGACATGAGTTTTCTCTGTGAATGTGTTTATAGATAGAAAACTATTTCTACGAACACTTGATGGAACGTGAAAGTGTAGAGACCTAAACTCATGCATATTGAGAGAGAAATATTCGTAAAATTTTAATGAAGCGGGTGGTTTTGTTCGTTATTGTAGATATTGGTTGATTGTTGAGGGTTTGTCAACAGTAAATAAAAGAGTGAATAAAAAAACATGTGAATGTTATTTGACTCACCTGTCGGAGCTCTCGGAGCTGTCGTATCGATCGGCGCACCGCTTCTTGCCGCAGGGTCCAACGAGGGTGTCTTCAGCCGTTCTGATCTGTCCCTTGTAAGGGCTACCTAGCCTGGCAACAACCTCACTCCCAGTACAATCCGTATGCTGCTTATTCTGTTTGATTTCCTTCATTGTTTCTGGTATTGCAGAAACAGCAACAGCCGCAGCCGCAGCATCAACAACAGTGGAATTGGCATCAGCATCACCAATCTTACGACTCACATCACTGTCACAAGCATCACCATCACTCCTATTACCAAATTCAACCAATACCACAACCCCCTCGCCTCTATTATCCGGCATTTTAGTCGTACACCTCTCCACCATTAATTTTCTATCACAATCACCATTAGTTAATACCTTATCATCACCAGTTACCATTGCCGTTGATACTTTATTGGCCTTAACGTTCACTGGTTTTCCATTCAACATGTAAATGTTCACCAGATCATTGTTATCCTTGGGCTCGTTGTAAAAATCAACACGACATTCATCACTCATCACAACTCCATTGCACCTTATATTCTCAATGCTACTATCACGACAATTGTCACTGGCACTAGTTTCACTTTTATCATTGCAGCACGATGTGTCAAGGACAAAAGCCTGATGTGGTTGGCGATGATGCACGACAAGTGCCGTCAACGGAGACTGATGCTCCACTACGCGCTTTTTGTGTCGTTCACGCGGCACGCGACTCTCGTCGCACAGGTCGGTGGCCGCGGCTTCCTCCGCGGGAGACCGCCAGTCTGCCATTTTGATGTGGCCCTATCTATCCCCTATTCACTATTTACCTATTATCCAATTATATCGACAACTGACGATCCTCCCCCCCCCCCCACCTTATTGATTCAATTTTATTCAAATCAATCTTAAGTCCGTATGAGTTTTAATATTAGTCACGACACACCAGCACTGCGGAGTGAGCACACCGGGGGCCGTGCCACTAGCACGTACCACACTCGTTGTGTTTCCGTGCAACGACGCGCTACGTGCCCCTCTCGTCCTATCTCCTCCTTCCTTCGATTATTCCATTTTTTATTCTTCTTTTTTTACAACACTCCTCCCCCACCATTCCCCAATATCTACCCCTCTCTGTTGCTCACACCCCAAATTCACTGGCCACTCCCTTCGCTCGCTCCTCTTGTCCTCTCACTCGCTCTCACTCGCTCGTGCAGTTTTGCTCATGCTCACGAGTGAGGGCACGGCCAACACTACTCCCACCACCAAAGCATGCGCACCACTCTCGGCCTCCAGTTGAACCGACCATGGCCGAATAATCGCGGCATTCAACGATGGCTCGCGATTTCAGGGAGACATCGATATACTCAACCTGAGGGATCCTGTCTCTCATGGGAAATTTTCCCACTCTACTAAATATACCCTCATAATTCTGTCTCCCACCTCTACCACATCGAGACACCCTTTGCTCAGGTCGACTGTACGCCAATGGGTGGTCACGTCTCTCGCATTTTCATTGGGTAATCGGAATTCTGGGTAGCCAATGGAGAGTGAGCATCGTGAAGAATCCACCAATCGCTGATGGATATGCATTTATCGAGGTTCGCGGGTGAACAACGCTTCATGAAAATAGATCGGTGGGTCGTCAATGCCTCTCTAGGAATTATTAAAAACCAGGCAACTGCAATCTGGATTATTCCAGCAGTCGGTTATGCAGGTTTTATCAGAGATACTTATTTGGTGCGGGTGAATGATCGACTTTTAAAAAATAATTCTTCGTGAGCTTTTCAGGTACCTAGTGCGCGTAAGTAGAAAATATTTCGTATTGCCATGAGGATAAAAGATATTTCAGGTAAAGTAGTAAGCGCATAACTCGAGGGGATGCCAACAGTCAAATCAGGCGAGTTTTAATCGTAATCATAAAATTATATGATTTTAGAAGAAATTTCGATTAGACCACACGAAAATCATTAATAAAATTTTGTTTCGAACGATTTCAATACCGATATTCATAATTTAACAATTCATTTTCTGTCATATAATTATATACGAGAAACTACAAAATGGAACGAAAGGCATTTTTAAAAATTAACTTAATGAATATTCTGGGCAGAGATGTAACTGTTTGTACCTTGAGCTTTATGCTTTACCATATTTAAAATCGCGATAGGGATTCAGTAGTAGCTCCATAAAGATTTCTATGAATGACGCACATGCACGCGCATAAGAATCTCCAGTAAATAAATATATTACACAACTCAGTTCAACAAGACTGTCATATTACCAAAAGGATCAGAAAATTATGAATTAAATGCAATATATCACGTAATTCTGTATTTTTTAAATAACGCAATAGATTATCCAATTGCATTTTCATAATTCATACCAAGTATAACGCAATTCAAGTACATATTTTGGGCGGTGAACAGAAAAAATATTATTGCACATTGATAATAATAATAGCAATAATAATAATAATTACATGTAACCGGCATTTGCAGTTACTAGGGTTGGATGGGGTGAACGGGGGCACAGTGCTCAGAAAGGTGGTTGACCCAGCGTTTCTGTTGCCACGACGACGTCCCTGTGACGTCACGGGACAAACTCAGGTTTATAGGTGACCTACATTCTAAAAATAGATAGCGACCTACCCCTCCTCCTGATCCCCATGACAGGCCGCGCGAGTGCGCCACTACCTCAACCCCTCGCACTCTGTCTCTGTCTCTGTGCGAATGCCCTTCCTCATGCTCCCCTGCTGTTGCTCGTCATCGTTTTCCCAAGGATTGCAAATGCCTTCCATAACAACACCTTGGCACTATTTTAAATCACGATAAACTCTTCACCGAATGCCAATTCATTATTCGTTATACTGCACCATGTTTTTTCCACCTTGGTATCACGAACTTGAGGAATTTGTTGCACTATAGAATTTCAACAATTGTCTTTCCATAAAAAAATCACTTCTTATTTTGAGGAATTAGGTTCACGATTTTTCAATGTGATTCGCGATATAGCTGAGTATCATATCAGTTCTAGATCCAGTTCATCTGATGTCATTGAATTATTATCTTCTATTTGTCTAATATTCATTTATGAATTATTTGTTTATCTCAGAGTAATCTCTCTTTACGTATCGCGCCAATTTTCGGAATAATCTGAAAAGAAAATCCGAAAATCCGTGGTGAACGTGCAAAACTTGAATGAACACCAGTTTTTTTAAAATGCCCTGTGCCAGTAATCAATGATGATTTTTCGCCAACAGAATATCAATTCCGCGACGCAACAACTTTTTGAATGAAAGTCATTTACTCACCCTTCCCCAGTGTTCCGTTACTAAAATGGGATAATCAATTCACTCGTTCCTTTGTTCTATGACATGTCCATGGTTTGGTCAGGCATTCCGTCCAACTTCTCCTCAAACTGATGATGGAATGGCCGTTGAAGTTTAAGCACAGGAGATTTGATGTAATTAACTAAATTACGATTGGCGTTGCCAACCTTTTTCCTCAGTACAGGGGGTACTATGACCCCACGACCTACTTTGTTACCGTCGTGACGTCATTCTCCAACGTCATTGCCCGGGCGAATCTGGGTCGTACGGATCCCAGGTTTCACAAGAGACAGGATAGTTTATTGAGAAATCTATAGATAAATTTGGGATATGGTCCTGTGACGTGCCGATCACCCGAACATCATCGTTATCATTCTTTACGCCCCCGGGACGTTATCAGTTTCATTAATCCATAATGATTCCAATCCTCACTCTCCGTTGTCATTCGTTAAATTGCCACCTGTAAAATCTGCTTTCACCTAAAATTAGCCAATCTAATCTTAGACTAACCTTCAAGCTTGCCGGGAAAATCATAAACAAGTATTGAGTTTCCACAAAAATATGGAAAATTGATACGAGATGGAGAACAATGGACCAGAACGCAGACTACTCGCGAACGACGAACAAAAAAATGAATAGAATCAACTGCCGAGTGGAGGGATCTAAAAATATTTGGAAAAACATTCCATCAAGGATTTTCTTTTAGTTCTGAGAAACACGGAAAGTCGAACGGTTAGCACATCTCATGAATGGCCGCGTAATGTGAATGAAGCTCCAGTGACCTAGTTTTGCGGCCGGCACCCCTTCGACTCCGTCCCTCATCACTGTATCCTCACTCTCTCGTTTTCCCTCTGGCCTTCTCCACGCATTCCTTCGCTAAACCCGACTGAAAATTCAAATCAGTTTTTAATAACATCGAAAAAGTCCAGTCCTGATCAGCAGTGAATGAATTTTTTAACGCTTCTTTAAGTCTGTCTGATCAAAACTTTGAAATCTCCTTGTTGCTTCATTACAGGATCCAAACCACCTGATCAGTGTCTGATCAATACCTGATTCTGATTCGTCGGGAATTCTGATCGGCGAATCCTGAGCTAGATTGGATCTAAACCTGATTTCGATCCAGATAAGCTGAGTGAATTTCCACACGGGATATTGCATCCGTGGAAATTCGAATGAGTTGTTAATAGAGAATGAATAGTCAATATCTCGGGGATGATGTAGAGGGCAATTTTCTAGGATTTCCACGGGAAATGGTAAGTAAAAATTGAAGAAAAGCTTCGATTTGCAGTTAAAATTAAAAAAATGGAATGCCAATGGGAGGCAATTAGGTAACAATCAGGTGGCAGCGACCCAGTTTTGTGGACTTACCCCCGACCTATCTTCACCGCTGTACCTCGACGTTGGACTGGTGGTATATTTTATCGGAGTGGTGATTTAGTGTATATGTGTGGTTGCGTGTGCAACGGTTGAAGCTCCCAATGACGTCATGAAGCGCCGGGCGTCGAACCTCGGTGGTACAGTGCATCGACCTGAAACCCCAGTTGCCTAGCCTAGGCGTCCCGACCTCTGGTACAGGAAGGGAGAGAATTTCTTGTCCCGTTGGAGGATCTGTGCCGAGGACACTGGGGTTGCAATGGAGTAGGGAGAATATTTCTCCCTCTTTCATCCTGAGACACGCACTCGCGGAGGGAATGGTGTTGGTAGGGATGAGCTGGAGAAGGACAAGTATTACGAATACTCTGCGGAGTGCGAAAAGGAGGTCACACACCGAAGTTGAGGGTCGAAATTGAACTGGTTGAGCTTGCCTAGGTGATACGTTAGTGGTGAAGAGGGGGAAAAGTGGGTGAATGAGGCAGCTAGGAGATGCTCACTCCCCTTCTCTCTTTCATCCAAATGTCTCTCGGGATATTTTTGGATTTTGTGAATTAACCCATTCGTTATTTCTGGACGTAAGGACAGCAAGGACTCAACCAGTGCCACTTCAGGGGACAACCAGCAACTTGGGGTAAGTCAACTTGATAATTTCATTTTGATTTATCCGTGGCTATTTCTGGATTTGGGTTGGGGCTTGTTGTGTAAATTCACTCGCTTTGCCATTTTTCAATCATTCTAGAAATATTCTCGGAGGGTTGAGGGTGTTATAGTACCACCTGCTTTTTACGATGGCAATTATTAAGTTTTCATAATTGAGACAATTATTCTGGGATGCTCGATGGAGAAAATAGCTTTGTCGATTTGATCAATTGTGAAGTAACATTGAACCTGGAGGGTGTATTTAAATCGTGAAATTTAGGCTTGCTTGTCACACCATTAACTTTCTATTTTTTACCTTCTCGCGTACTGATTTCTATCTGATCCAAGTTTGGTTAGTCAAACAGTCAAATTCAGGTGTTGACCATAAAGCCTCCCTTAAACAGATACCAAAGAGTTTGGATCCAGTACTGAACAGAAAAGTTCATGTCATTTCGGTTGTCATGAAACAATTTATGAATTTTTATATCGGATGGAAAAGGGCAAATGTGGGAAACATCAGATGAAAATCGAGGCGGGCTAACAGGCCGGATGTCCGATGTATCTTGGACGATTTGATGTTTGATAGTTGCGATCTCCAAGAACATCAAGACCAGGTCCGGAGCGCGGGGCCACGTGGTGTGTCAAGCGCGCGGAACAATCAATGCCGTGACGTCATCGGGCGATCAACCAATCCCAAGTTGGC